ACACACACACACACACACACACACACACACACACACACACACACACATACAGTCCCCACGCCCAATTAACGGATGCCGTCGTCCTGACGATTTCGTGAAATTATCAGATTAAATTTTAATAGTTTGCTCAATTATGCGTAGATTTCGTTATTTCACATCTACGCGCGTTCAAATGCGCATGTAATTTGATTAAATCAGACACGGAAGAACGGACCTAATATCATAATAGGATCGACTCCACTGGCAATGACAAACAAAGCGCCACTCTATAGCAATCAGCGTTATACTTCTTAATGGCCAACCTTCCTCTACTAAATCCCCTTCCTCCTTTTCTCCTCCTTCTCCCCCCCCTCCTCCTTTCCTCCCCCTCGTCATACTCCTCCTCATCCTCATCCTGCCCAGCACTCACTCGCCTAACTCCGTCAGTAATAATTATAATCTCACAACACTAGCTTCGACGACGACTATTAAACCTGGAATAGTATCCAATTAAATTTTCCTCTTCCATATGCTCTTTTTAGCTTCGAATTGGTCGACACAAATGGTGGTCTCGGATGAACGCATCGCTGCTAGAGGAAAATTGGCGTTTCGTCACCGTGCTCTCGTTCTTTCGTTCTATGATTATTCGCATCACCAGCTTAACGCGTATCAGCATGATCATCACGTCAAAGCGTCTACCTGAGCGTTGATGAGATCGCTAGGTTTTTTCAATTATTAATCTCTCGTTTTTTTGTCGGGACCCGTAACCGTCACGACTAAAAACGCAGTGAAAATTAATCCCGCGCTGCTGCTGTTGCTGCTGCTGCTGCTGCTGCTGTTGCTGCTGCTGCTGCTGCTGTTGTTGCTGCTGCTGCTACTGCTGCTGCTGCTGCTGCTACTACTGCTGCTGCTACTGCTACTGCTGCTGCTACTGCTGCTGCTGCTGCTGCTGCTGCTACTGCTGCTGCTGCTGCTGCTACTACTGCTGCTGCTGCTGCTGCTGCTGCTACTAATACTGTTGTTGCTACTGCTACTACTGCTGCTGCTGCTGCTACTGCTGCTGCTGCTGCTACTGCTGCTGCTACTGCTGCTGCTGCTGCTACTGCTGCTGCTGCTGCTGCTGCTGCTACTGCTGCTGCTGCTGCTGCTACTACTGCTGCTGCTGCTGCTGCTACTGCTGCTGCTGCTGCTACTGCTGCTGCTGCTGCTGCTGCTACTGCTGCTGCTGCTGCTGCTACTGCTGCTGCTGCTGCTGCTGCTGCTACTGCTGCTGCTGCTGCTGCTACTACTGCTGCTGCTGCTGCTGCTACTACTGCTGCTGCTGCTGCTGCTACTACTGCTGCTGCTGCTGCTGCTACTACTGCTGCTGCTGCTGCT